GCCTGGCGGCCCTGAACCGCTTCCTCTCCAGGTCTGCCGAGAGGGCGCTCCCTTTCTTCCAGATCATGCGTAAAGCCAACAGCTTCAAATGGACGACGGAGTGCCAGGAAGCGTTCGAAGAGCTGAAGAGGTACCTATCGTCCCCACCCGTGCTCTCCAAGCCCAAAGCCGGCGAAACCCTCTTCTTGTACTTAGGGGTGAGCACGTCGTCCATCAGCTCCGTGCTCATCCGTGAGGACGAAGGGGTGCAGAAGGCCATCTTCTACATCAGCAAGACACTTAGGGAGGGCGAGCTTAAGTACTCCCCCATCGAAAAGACGGTGTTGGCCATCTTCCGTACGGTGAAAAAGCTGGGGCACTACTTCCAGGCCCATACCGTCCATGTGCTGACCCAGCAGCCCCTCGGCGCACTCATGAGGAGCCCCACTAACTCCTCAAGGATGGTGAAATGGGCTATCTTCCTCAGCCAATTTCAGATTGAGATCAAGCCAAGGCCATCCATCAAGGGACAAGCTTTGGCCGACTTCGTCACCGAATGCACGGCAAGGGAGACAACCGCTACCACCCCCGGGCCAGAGCCCGATGACACGTGGATCCTCTTCACCGACGGCTCGTCGGCCGCGAAATCGTGCGGCGGCGGCGTCGTCCTCATTTCCCCTGAAGGATTCAGAGCTTACTATGCCATCCGCTTCAACTTCAGGGTATCCAACAATGAAGCCGAGTATGAGGCCCTCCTCAGCGGCCTCAGACTCGCCGCTGGCCTTAGAGCCCGACACATCAAGATCAGGTGCGACTCCAAGCTGGTAGTGGGCCAGGTGGAGGGTACGTACGAAGCAAAGGAAGGCCGGATGAAGCAGTAGAAACAAGCAGCAGAGGAGTTGCTGAAGGCGTTCGAAACCCACGAGATCACACAGATCCCAAGGGCCGAGAACGCCGAGGCCGTCATCCTCTCCAAACTCAGCTCGGACACCCCGGAGCACATCTCCAAGCTAGCCAAGATCGAGGAGCTGAGCATGTCCAACATCCATGCCAGCCCCGTCTTGTGCGTCCAACAGGGACCGGAGGACTGGATCTCCGACATCATCACCTTCATCACGATGGGGGAGCTACCCCAGGATGAGGAGAGGGCCAAACTCGCCAAACTCAGGGCCCCAAGCTACACCATTGAGGATGGCAGACTCTACAAACAGTCCTATAATGGCACTCTCCTCCGATGTCTGCACCAGGATGAGGCCGACGTGACCATGGAAGAAGTTCACTGTGGTGTGTGCTCCATGCACCAGGGCCCCTTCAGCATGTCCCGGCGTCTCGTCGTACAGGGCTTCTTCTGGCCGACCATGGCACGGGATTGTGCGGACCTTGCCAGGAAATGCACCACATGCCAGGTACTCCAGAAGGCCCCTGGTCGGCCAGCCGTCAACTACGCCCCCGTCAGCACCGCTATTCCATTCTCGAGGTGGGGGGTTGACCTGGTCGGCCCTCTGTCCAGAGCTGCCGGCAACAACCGCTACATCATCGTCGCAGTCGACTACTTCACTAAGTGGGTCGAAGCGGAACCCCTGGCCAGCATCACGGGGGCCAGGTGTCAGAAATTCGTTCACAAGAACATTCTCACCCGCTTTGGTGTCCCCCAAGAGATCATATCCGACAACGGCACCCAATTTGAAGCGGCACCCTTCCAAGAGCTGCTCCGAGAATGGGGGATAAAACACCGTTTCTCCTCTGTTGCCTACCCTCAAGGCAACGGGCAGGTTGAGAACGCCAATAGAACCATCATGGAAGGGCTGAAGAAGAACCTACAGGACGCAGGAGAGAGTTGAGTCGACGAGCTCCCCAACATCCTGTGGTGCTATCGTACTACGCCAAGGAGGGCAACGGGTGAAACACCTTTTGCCCTGTGCTATGGTTTTGAAGCTAAGGCACCCACAGAGGTCACCATTCCCAGCCGACGGGTGGAGCAGTATGACCCAGAGGTTAATGAGGAGAACATGAAGATCGACCTCCACCTGGTCGAAGAAAGACGCGAGCAAGCATTCATCCGAGCAGAGAACTACCGGCGTCAAGTAAAATCATACTATGACGCCAAGGTACGTTCCCGAGAATTCCAAGTGGGGGACTACGTCCTCCGCCGAAGGGAAGCAAGCCAGCCGACGGAAGGAGGCAAGTTAGCCTTGAAATATGAAGGTCCCTACATCGTCAGTGCCGTGGTGAAACCCGGCACCTACAAGCTTAGACTCCCAAACGGGACCAATGTACCACGAACGTGGAATGTACACCATTTGGTGAAGTTTTATCAATAATCCGAAGGAGGTGCAGCCGGCGAAGCCCTCACCCTTTGACGGATTATTGATTGAACGCCACCCTCGGCCTTGAGCCACTTTTGAATAAAAATCATGTTTCCTTTGATTTATTGGAGTTCGACTTGAACGTGAACGAGGTGCCCTCATCGGCCACCCCAGAGCGAAAGGCTCAGGCATGGCCGATGTGGCGCTTCGCATCTGCATCTCTTGAGCGGAAAGCTCAAACATGCCCATTGTATTTTGTATCAGCAAAAGGTTTAGACCAGCTGAGAGAGCACGTCGTATCGACCCCTTAGAGCGAAAATGCTTAGGCAGGACCGACGACGTCCCCAGGATGATGGGCCCTCAAACGGCTCGCGTCTTGAACCAGGAAGTTCACCGCGTCGTCCACGCGCCTGATCGCAGGACGACAGGCCTGAAATCATGGCCGAGGTGACAAAATCCCAAAACTCAGGGATGGGCAACGACAGCCGTTGGAAACCAACCAAAAGTCTAGCCCGCGTCATAAATAGGCGACGGGACCCCCCCTGAGACCACAGACGTTATAAACAAAGTCTGAACCGGCCGAAGGGCCATCGACCCCTTTGGCCGAAGCCTGAAAGAAGGACGCTCCCTGAAACGGGGAACAAATAAAAAGAGGGAAGCCTACGGCCGTGCGCACTTGCCGGCCCCGAGCAGTAAAAATAAATCCCCACAAAACAGCCACATTTGGCTAAGTACATATCAGTTGAATACAAAGGCAAATACTACCAACAGGTAACGCGGACGAAGCGGCCACACGCTACGCGGAAATTGTCAAGGCCGGAGCATACACCTATAAAACCCTAACCAAAATGGTTGGGTGAAACGAGAAGTGGTAACCTTCATCGGCCACAACCCCTTGAAGCACCATCACTTAGCATGAAAAAAGGAATTACAACTTCACTCAAAACACCATCCTGAAGTTGACCACCGGAAAGGGAATCCCAGGACGAAGCGGGCAGTATTACACCCGCGCGAAAGTCAAACACAAGGGTGGCAACCCCTACCGGCCACAAGACTCTTGTTGGCCGTTAAAGGCGCTAAAACCAAGACGATGGTTTGAGCTGAAAATCTCCAAGTGAATTCCAACACTTAGAGAACCCTAAGGAAAGCAAATGCAAAGGAAGAGGCAACACACCGGGTACCTTCATCGGCCAAACCGTTTAACTCGGCCGACGATGATACTACGCAGGGAAAATTACATGGCCTAAAAAATTGAGCAATCCCCTTACCACAGGGGCAGGCTCAAGACGAAGCGGTCACTCAAGTACCTATAAGTGCCCGTATCGGCCTAACCAACGACCGGTGGGGTCTTGTCAACTAACAGAGACAACAAAGGTGGTTGCCCTAGTTGCCAGTGGACTCCAAACACAAATATCGAAGGTACGGCCGACAAGGGTAACAGGCAGAGAAAACTACAACTCCCAAACACTTAGACGAAGTGGGCACCCAAAACAATTGAGGGCACCCTCTTCGGCCAAGGCGTCCGTATCGGCCAACTACTTGGAAGATTTTCCTAAAGCAATGACTGACTTAATACTTAGAAAATTTTCAAAACAAAAAATCTAAGTATTCTGGCAACAAGGCAAGCAAACACCCACACGAGGACGTCGTACAAACACGGCAAGAAAAGAACGCGAAAACATTAAAGTATGAAAGAAGCATTTCTTTTCATTCATTAGATTGGGAAGTACAAGGAGGGCTTCTAGGCCGTTACATAGTAGAAAGTCAGAAAAAAAACTACAAGGAATCAGGACTCTGGAGGGGCTTCAGAGTCCTTCTCGGCCTCGGCTCCCTCTTCGGCCGGGGCAACAGACGTACCAGCTGCGACACCCGACGTCGCGGTATCCTCAAACATGCTCCGCTCATACGCCCAGTCGTCGCTGATGCGTGAGCTCTCAATGGGGAGCTACCGTTCAGCCACCGGAAGCTCCAACTCGGCTTCAGGATGCCTCATTAACGAAGGCAGGTCAAGGCCGATGGCCCACTCCTTGGTCACACCCATATCCAGGAAACGCCGTTGAAGCCTCCTATACAACAGCCGTTGCATCCGGTATTGACCAAGGTCGTAGAAGATTTTCATCTCCTTCTCCCAGTACGCCTGGCCGTCAGGGGATTGGGTCACCCAGTCAACGAGCCTGGACGCCACGACCTCAAAGCAAAAGGGAAGTCGGCCCTCGTCCTTCCAGCCGACTTCAAGGAACTTCTGCACAGCAGCATCAGCGGCTTTCTCCTCGGCGGCGCTGAGAGCCAGCTCTGCACTGGCCTTGCCCTTCTCTACCTCCTCCGCACGCCGGAGGGCCTCGTCGTGAGCACGCTCCACGTCGGCCAAACGCTGGAGGGCCCCTTCCTTCTCAGCGGCCAGCTGATCGGCCTCGTCAACCCTCTTCTTCAGGCTCTCAACCTCAAGACGCAGCCTCTCCAAGCTGCCTAGCGCCTAATCGGCCGAGGCCACCTTTTGCTCGAACTGCCTCAGGCGAGCAATCTCCTTTTCTTGCCTCCTGTTGCTCTCCATCAACATGAAGGCACCCTGCAGCAAAAAGGGGTTAGACAACATTGCACAACAAAAAAAAATTGGGGAGAGGAGACTAAGACGAAGCGGGCACGATTACTTACTTGGACGATGTGGTCCATCCCACCATCGTACATCTTCACATGGCCAAGCTTCTTCAGGTAAGCCCGGTCTTCGTCAGGGATAGATTGAGAAATCGCCTCGTGGCCGTCAACAATCTCGTTGAACAGCCCCCATTTGACAGGGTACTCCACCTCGAGTTTGTAGGTCCCTCTGACCAGCTCTCGACCGGACCCTTTCTTCCGGGCGGCCATTACGGCAGCAAGAACAGTGGAGAGAGTGGTGGACGAAGGGCCCGAAGGGTGGTCCACCAAAGCATCAGTGTTTGAACCCCCTCCGTCCCCAGAGGGAACAGCCGACGTCCCAACATCACCGGCAGAGGAAGCCCTCTTTGACTTCTTGGGAGGCTTCAGTCCCACCTCGGTCAACTTTTTTTGGCCCTCATCGGCCTGCCGCTTCTTCTTCGGCTGTACCGGGGGCTTGGCCGCAGGGGAAGCACCAGGCTGTTGGGCCTTCAGCTCCTCGGCCGCTTTGAGTTGTGCCCTCTTCATAAAGGACATGCGATCCATCACAAAACCTGCATCACAAAAAACACTAAGGGTTAGAAAAACAGAATACAAAAGTACGACGAGAGGAAGTGCATCAGAAGGGACTTACCATCGGCCTCAGCTGGCACCCCCAGATCGGGACCATCAGCCTCCTCATAAGACGTGGTCATCTTCGGCCACAACTCCACATCGTCGTCACGGTCACCATACACGAAGTACCGTACAAAGCCGAGGGCGGCCATTTTGTACTCGGTAATATATGTCTTCACACTCCTCGGCCCTCCTTTCAGGAAAGCCTCAACCTGAGCGTCCAAGATGGAGCTCCTCGGCGTGTCATGAAGATTAAAATGGCCACTATGGCCGACGGAGGGAAACTCTACGCCCCCTTCACCCAAGGACACGAACACAAACTTTCCCTTCCAGCCATGGATGGACGTCGGCAGGTCTGTAAAACTCCTCTTCTTGGGCAGTTGTTGGAGAGTGGCATATGACGCGCAGTTCTGGTGACTTCCGCGGCCTATCTGGTAAAGGTTCATGAACAGCGCCGTCGTCGGCCTGAAATCCAACTCAGCACACCGCAGAAGGAAGCCGACGATGAGCGAGTAGCTATTCGGCGTCAACAAAGCCGGAGGAAGCCCCACCATATCAAGGTACTCGGTGATAAAGGGATGAAGCGGGAACCTAATCCCTTTGACAAAGCTCATCGGGTACACTCTGAAGTAACCCGGGGGTGGATTAAGCACATGATCCGTCGGCATGGGGGCCCTGACTCTACCGTACGGCCCCACATACATCTGCGCCACCAGATATTCACCCGCATTACTCTGCGGCCTGATAACGTAGATGTTCGTCAGATCCAAGTAAGAGAAGGCTGGCCCTCTCTTCGGCCTCCTTACCCTCTTCGGCGGCGCAACACCCTTCACAGCAGACACTGGCTTTGGGCAGGGAATGGCAGCCGACGTGGACGCCCCATCAGCAGTTCGGGAGACACCTACGTCCCCATCTCCAGACGATGACGCGGACCCCTCGTCCGCACCGTCCTCCTCAGCCGGCTCCCCGGTCCTGAACGAGCTCAGATTCTCAAGCTCCTCACAGAACTCCTCGACCACCTCATAATCAAGGGACTTGGCGGAGGGCTCGTCGTCGTAGGGATAGTACTCTTCGTTGAAGTTTTTCATCTTAAACACTATTTCGGGTATACAGCAGCCTACTTCAAGATCTAAGGGTGTTCAAGCGCCTAACACTAGATCACTAGCCCAGGAAGCAAAATATGCAAAGTACAGAGAAGATTTCGATGAACACTAACCTTGAACACGAAGAACACGAAGAACACAAGCTTGGGAGTTTATCTCTCTAGGAATTTGGCCAGCACTTCGACAACTCAGATTGCAAGTGAGAATTCTCGTCGGATGGAGAGGGGTATTTATAGAACCCCCTACCCAACGGTCACTACACGTGGCACCCTCCCAATGGCCACATCAACGGCCGCCAACGGGAGGCCACCACGTCACCAATGGGCCAAGCCCAAACTACATATCAAGAGCCCGCTGGCAAATCAGACTCTACGGAACGGGAAAGGAGAGCAAAACACCCAGAACGACCAGGGAACTCTACGGCCAACAGCATACAACGGTACCCCAACTGCACCCGTATCGGCCACCCAGATGGTCACACCATCCCAAAGGAGATGAACGTAACGTCCATGAGGCCCTTGCACTAAATCCTTGATGATAACCCTTTGCAAGCGACCTGCGTCCAAGGGTTCTCCCACAGGGTTACCTTGGTCAGGAAATCGCCAAAGGGTTGGATTCAAGGGCAATATGAGGATCCCACTTCGGCCTACGTTTCAATCTACTCCTTCACCCCTCACTCACTCTTCGGCCTGAAGCAGTGGGGGACTGGGGGACTACACCGGCCTCAAAAACAAAAGGCAAAATCAAAAGAAATCCAGAAATACACCAAGTCCACAACTACAACATCAGACATGCACCACAGCGTCCATAACATCATGGTGCATCTTCGGCCACAGCAAAGCTTGACATCACAGAACACTTTTCGGCCTTGAAACCACATCACTCAAGCCAGGAACCAAGAGAAAGGTCAACATACCTAAACTACTGTCGTCCATGTACCGCAACGGCCCCGAGGTCCTCACAACCTCCTCTTCGGCCAGACAGTGTTATCAACCCCAAAACCTTGGGCAATATGACGCCTGGTCGTCCGAACACACAAGGCATCATCAACAACGGCCAAAAGGAATGCAGAGTGCCCTCATCGGCCTCACCAGCCCAAAAGGGAAACTTTACCTAGTCAGCAACCAAGGACAGATACCACCTTCATCGGCCACCTATGCCAGAACGTGCATCATCAAACGAACAAAGTGCACCAAAGGAACAAGGGCCTTCCCCGGCCGCATCAGGGGACAGGCAACGGCCAAACTCAAAACACAGGGCTATCAAGCGTCGCGACAGGGAACGACCAACGGTCCCACATCGGCCAAGAAGCATCAAGCACAGAAATCTACTCTCCTGCGCTTCGTCTACATCTCAGCTTAGAGAGTGGGGGACTCCTGATGGAGTATATGGGTCCAGGCCCCAGGCCCCACATACTCAGAAGAACAGAAAGCACAGCCACCACGTGGTGCCCTCGTCGGCCAGAAGACCCTCGACGGCCAAAGAGGGACCAGCTCAGAATATGGTCCTGAAGCCAGGGAACCAGGGTGTCCTCGTCGGCCGCGCCCTCGTCGGCCGTGCCCTCGTCGGCCAAGACCCTCGTCGGCCACGGAAGTCTCACAGAACCGGATTTTACACTTATTCGTTTGTACAGCCCACTAGTGGCTTTGTATTCGGCCCAATAGCGGTCCAGTTGTAAATGGGCTTCCCAAGCCCAAGGCTTGGGAGCCCAGCCCGTATTTTTCCTATAAATACTTCCTCTGGAGGTAGTTATCAGGGTTACAAAATCATTCTATTGAAGCATATATTGCACTTCTCTCTCTAGCTCTCACTTCTCTCTAGATATATACTCTATCAACTGGTACTACCAAACTATGACATTAATTAGTCCTATTTTGGGAATAAAAACATGGCAGACCTATTTTGGATTTGTCAAACTGTTTTAGTACTAGTTTGGATAATATTCTCTAATATTAATGCATTTTTTTCTAAAAAGGAACAAATAGAAACTCACCACGATCCAATACCCTATTAAATAGGGAAATTACCCTAAATAGGACAAAATATGTTTGTATATTTCAAAATAGGACTATCATGTTTTTATTTCCAAAATAGGACTAATTACTGTCATGTTTTGGCAGACTTTAAACATGGTAGTATTTTCCAAATTTGACAGTAAAAATATGACAGTAATTACTCCTAAATATGACTAAAAACGTTTGTATATTTCAAAATAGGATTATCATGTTTTTATTTCCAAAATATGACTAATTACTCTCATGTTTTGGTAGTGCCAGACTTTAAATATTAGCCTCCAGTTTCAGTTAGTTGTGCCAAACATAACCTTCGGTCAATTGAAAATTAGACTTTCGTTCCTTAATTAAATAACCTTGCACTTACCTTCTCTTTTGCTCTTCATTTGCTAAACAAATAACCCCTTCTTCCTTGAACAAATCTTCCCCTTCTTGGCTACATATGTCTTCGCTTGGGTTCATTACTGCTTTAATGTTATCTTCTCTATGGATCTTCTCGAATTATAGCTTCTCTCAACCCTAATCGTCCAGCAAGTTTGTTCTTCACCTGGTAAATCCTTGTGGCAGAGTTGGCGTGAATTTCACTTCCATCCAAGAGTTTTGTATTGATATTTAATTTTCTTAGAATCATACTGTTTTGAATCTTTATATTTATATTTCTAATATTGTTAAACACCCTTTTTCATAGAGGATAACGTAACCATCTGCTTCCCATTTCAACGCAAATTATTTCATTTTTAATTTGTTTTCGCACAAATTAAACAAAGTACCAGATTTGACTAATTTGTTTTCTAATATTTCTATTTCTTTTCTAATTTTATTTCTAATACTACGGTGGTATTTTATTTCTAATTTGTTTTTTAATTATTTTGTTCTATTAATAAATTGTACTCCCTATAATGTAAATTCATATTATCCAAGCATTTTTCAGCTCTTCTTGCCAAACGGGTCTAATTCATTCAGTTAGCAATGCAACATTCAGCTACAGACAACAGTCTGTAGTTCAGGCATTAGCCTGCACCTTCAGTTTGTTGCGCCAAACATAGCCTAAATAATGACAATTGATTAATTAAACTAAATCTACCATATTTCACATGTTGAATTTAATTCGAGTAAAATCAAAATAACAAAAAATGGGGAAAAAGGTCAAATAGGCCTTCGAACTAACTTAAAAAGTTCAAATCACGCTCTAGTCACCGTTTGGGGCGATTCCCGGTGGATTTTTTTGGTGAACTTTTTTTAGCATTTTCCTCATTAAGTCTAGTTTACTCATACTAAATTTCAGATAAGAATTCAACCGGAAAGACAGTCAAATGATTTTTTGAAATGTACTGCGCTGTTTAACTGCGCAATTATCTTCAAAAATTCATTTGACTGCCTTACTGATTGAATTTTTAGCTTAAATTGGGTATGAGTAAACTAGACTTAATGAATAGGATGCTCAAAAAATTTCATCAAAAAATCCCACACGGAACAGCCCCAAATTACGACGGCCGGACAGAGACTCATATATAAGGAGTGATTTGCACTTTTTAAATTAGTTCGAGGGACTATTTGACCCTCTTTCCTAGAAAATGATTATAGGTTATGATATACTCCCTCCGTCCCGAAAAGGTTGGCCAAATTTCCTTTAAAGTAAGAAATATGTGGCTAAAATTAATTCTCTCTCCTTTGCACAAATTTCAACCATACAATTTTTTACTTTATTAATCCACGTGAAATTCAACTTTGGCCAATCTTTTTGAGACGAACGGAGTACTACCTGTATAAGTATATTGTATACTCCCTCCGTTCCCAAAAATACTTCCCACTTTCCTTTTTGGACCGTTCCCAAAAATACTTCCCACTTTCCCGTTTTGGACAATTTGTGTGGCTCACATTCATTTTACCTTTTTCTTACACAACTACAACCATACATTTCCACTTTATTTCACTTTCTTAATAAGCGTGCCAAGTCAAACCGGGAAGAATTTTTAGGAACGGAGGTAGTACATTATACGTAGTGTTATTCAGAAATATGTATAACACCGTCATGGCATCACGTGGTATGCCATGTTGTATACAACAATACAATGCGTTAATGAGTTAATCTATATGATGTGTGAGCAAGTCAAAGAAAAAGTTTGAAATGCATTAAGAACGTAATGTGATGTAATTGTCTTTCTTTAATTATATGGACTTAGTATAAGTGAAGTTACTTGCACGGGTAGCTCACTTGGTCGAGTGGTGGAAAAATTAGACTAAATGATCAAGGTTCGAAACCCGCAGTGATCGTGTGGAGGTTACAGAACCTGAAATAAGGCTGGACATCTGGTGTGCACGTGTATAAGGCATACCACCACTTTGCTGACTGAGTCACCGTGATTAACCTTCCCAACATCCTGTCGGGTCGAGGTGGGAGCCTTGGGGTGGCCGTTGGGCATTCAACCTTTTGGACAAGGTATAAGCGAACTTCCATGGATGTATCATTAAAGTGTGTGCCTAACTCAGTCAAAGTAAAATCAATCGCTTCATTGAAGACATCAAAATGATAATGATGTTCTATTGTTGGTTGGAAACGAGAACGCCCAATCTTATATGGATCACCCAAATTTGGAAAATCAATATCATTTGAAGAGCAAAAACTCTTCACTTCTTTAAGAAATTCCTCCCAACCAGATGCTCTTAACTCTGCAAGGATAGTTTTAGTAGTACCAACGAATGTAATAGCACTCAAAATATCAAGAGTTTTTTTTTGAAGAACCTGGCAAAGAGCATCAGTTATTCTCAGAAGTTTATGCATCAAGTGTAAGACAAACACAAATTCAAAGCTTGCCATTTTTCTATAGGTCCCAAGAACTTCAGCTCTAGATCTTCCATTTGGAGAGTTCTCAACCAAATGTTCAAACACTTTGCAAGTTGCGGCATACATGTTCAACACTTTACAACTATTTGCAATTTCTTCACGAACCATTTGACGAGCTCTATTTGCCATTATATTCAAGATCTCTTTTTGAATGTCGGGAGCAATGTACTGAGCTTTTTTAGGAGCATTCTCAAGTACAACTTCATGAACTTTGGTATTCATAGTCGCAAAAGCTTTCACTAGTTCAATAAAATTTCCCCGATTTGATGATGTTACAGATTCATCATGACCTCTAAAGGCACAACCTTGAAGTGCCAACCATCGAACAGTTATAATAGAAGTTCTCAATCGCAAACGATTTTTCTCCTTTTCTTGTTACGATTGGGCATGAAAAACATTCTTAATATGGTCAGATGGTTGGCTCAAATTTTCAGCTCTTTGAACACACATCATATGAGGTGATTTTTCTGAAATACCAATGTGTTGAAGAAATGCACATTGACTTCCTTGATTTACCCTCTTCCAACTTTGAAATCCTTCGTTAACTAATGCAGAAGTAGTATGCATATGAATGTCACTCAAGAAAAGGAAGCAGAAAAAACAGTAAGCTTTATCAGTCACAGGTGAATACTCTAACCAATTAAACTTGTCAAACCAGTGTTTCTGAAAACTTCGGTTTTGAGATCCAAACTTTTTCATTGGATAAGCTTCCATTCTCGGTTGATAAGGCCCAACATTTAGATATGCACGTCTAACTTCATCTCTCACATTAACATGGTATTCATGAATTTGTTTTCTTTTTCCCGGATCCCTCTCAATGGAAAAAGATGAAGGCAACTCAAAATTGGAGATAGATTGGATTTCAGGGACTAGGACATGTGAAGGAACCTCGTTGACTAGATCTTGCACTATCGTAGGTATAGGTTCAGAACTTCCTTCACCGTTTTGACGATTCACTTTTGAAAAGAATGATGAAATGAACTTCTTTCCCTTCTTGGCAACATGTTCATTATCCATTCTAAAAAAACATTTTCAATATTGGTATAAATTAAAAAACTTATATAAAAAATATATAACAAATTCACTCATTCACTCTAAAATGCACAATTCACATATTCACTCTAAAATTACTGGTATTGTTCAACCTAAAATGCACAATTCACAGATTCACTCATTCAAAGTTCACAAATTCACAGCAGAAGTTCATAACTTCACTGATTCACAATCAAAATTCAACACTTCGTCCCTGAAAACAACACAGAGGATTTACCTGGTCGGGCAGAGGAAGAGGCGGTCGGGTAGAGGAAGAGGCGGCTCCGGCTGACCGGCTCGGCGCGCCGCTCGGTCGCTGTTGCCTGCTGCTCACGTCTCCGGCACGGCGGCAACTCAGCACCGGGCACCGGCGGCACGCGGCAAGTTCGCTGCTTGACCCTGCTTCAGTCGGTTCGTCACTTCGTCCGGAGTTCGTCGGTCGTCCACTCGTCGGTCTCGTCCCTTGAAGCCTTCGTTCGACAGTCGACACTTCGACCGCAAGTCCGCAGGCTGGGAGCGGTAAGCCGTAAGGGACTCGGGGGAAAGATGTGGGCTGCTTTTTCTGGGCTGGGCTGAGAATTATTTGTGGGGTGGGCTGACATTTAAATTTAGGATGGGCTGAGAATCGAAAATAAACCAATACTATTAAAAAAAAAATTGGGCTGGGCTGAAGCCCACCCCTGACCAGGCTACCATCCGCCCCGGAAGCGAAGTCAAAATTGGGAAGCGGTGGTTGGAAGGATGTGGGATGGGAAATATTTCTGTTTGGTTTACTATTGAGGTGTAAAGCCTCATGTATGATGGCGGGGCACTGTAATCTAGGCCGAGTCACTTCACAGATTCTATTGTCTGTTATCAACGTCAAAAATGAAGCTCCATCCTTGCTGTTATGCAAACAAACAAAGAAAAAAACAGTCAAAGCCCATTTACGTAGATATAAGTCACACTCCTTCCTTGTTTTATTACTGCATTTCTTAGAAAAATTGAATAATACAGAAAAAGACACAAATTGAAATCGCAGATCACGACTTCTTTAACAAATGTGATTGTTAGTGTTACATTATTTTAGATTGTTGCTTGCATTTAATATGATCAATAATAGTAAGACTTGAGTTGTAATTTTTAGAAGGAATGACAAAAATAGAATTTCCATGTTTTGATAGGACAAATATAATATGTATTTTAGAATATTAAATAGGTTTCGTTATTTATTAGGATTATATTATTAGTTAAATATATTCTTAACTATCGTGAAATTCACAAATCTATTCCATACTTTCACTTTATTAAAAAAAGACTCAAACTTAAACTTTTTTCACAATTACACTTTCAATGGATGAATTCGTAAAAATTAAGAAGAAAACTATATTTGTATTTCATAATTTTTCACTTCTTTTTAGTTTTAAGTTTACAAAATTGTATTGCTTATAATCTTATTGGTATTGATAAAAATGTGTAATTTTGAAAAAACAAACAAGAAAAGCATAATTGTTGAAAAACATGAAGTTTTAGTCTTTTTTTTGATAAAATGAAAGTGTAGGCTAGCTTTGAGAATTTGATGATAGTGTGAGATAAAATAAGCTAATAATCCTATTTATTATGTTTGTTATTGTATTTTGAACTCTCTATTCATTATGTATATGATATTCGGGGCTATCATTCTGCTAAGTCATTCCATTATTCTCACATGGTATCAACAACATTAGGTTTTTAGAACCTTAATATTTCGGAGGGGGGGGGGGGGGATGGCCATGAGTAGCACAGCCTCATTTTCTGCGTCAACCACGGCCGCGCCATCCTCTTCAGCAGCGCCGGCCATCGTGATGCTATCTTCCTCCTCAACTCCCGTGTTCACCATGGCAACCTCTTCGGTCATGACGCACAGCACCAGCGGTGTTGGAGGGGTCCAAGCTTCGTTGTTTCCCTCTTCGATGCTCACCGGTTCTTCTACAATCGGCTTTGGTACTTGGGAAACACCAGTTTTTACTTGGACTCTTTATGCACCCACGTTGCAGCCGATCTCATCTACTGCTTCTTCGCTTCCGCTAATTCAGCTTGTTCCTCCGTCAGACACTCTTGCATCCGCCACATCTATCCCTCAAATTGTCGTCCCAACTCTGTCTGGGTCACCCGGACTGACCTTTCCTCGCTCTTGTTGGGAATAACAGGATCGTGCTAATATGAGAGAAAAATACTACTATTACTTTCAAGAATAGAAGGAAGAGACATACAAGCTCTACCTAAAAACTCTCAAAAACACCTCACATATCTCTCAAGGATATTCACAACTCAAACTTGGTTGTGTTATAATGATCTATGATTTAATTTACTTGATGATAGAAATACTCTCCAAGCTCTCTATTTATAGCACCAAAAATAGTTACTAGGAAGGTGGGAGGAAGATGAGATTAAACATGGGGGTTGGAAGGAAGATCACTCCTAGGTGTATGGAAGCTCCCTTTGTCATTCTTGCACATGGAGGAAGCTTGATGGAAGTAAGGAATTGGATTCTTCAATTTGCTTGTACTTGGATATGTCCTCGAAATTGAATTCTTCAATTCTCCCCTTCCAGGTATATTCAAAACAAACATCTCAACTATGTCTCTGCATAGCTCTAGCTTATCTCGTGTCACCACCTTTGTCAGCATGTCTGATGGATTCTCCTTGGTGTTGATCTTCACTAGTCTCAACAGTTGTTTATCAATCGCCTCCCATATCCAGTGATACCGAATATCAATATGCTTTGTACAAGAATGCTACATAGAGTTCTTGCTCAAGTCTAGAGCACTTTGACTGTCACAATGTACCTTGTACTCTTTCTGCTGGATCCCAGGTTCTTGGAGAAAGCGCTTTAGCCACAACATTTCCTTACCTGCTTCAACGACAGCAATGTATTCTGCTTCTGTTGTAGATAAAGCGGCACAATTCTGCAATCTTGATTTCCAAGAAACAGCTACCCTGCAAAAGTGTAGATATATCCTGAAGTAGATTTTCTACTATCAATATCTTCGGCCATATCAGCATATGTGTAGCCTTGCAAGACTGGATCAGCTCCTCCGTACCAAAGACATAACTTCGTGGTACCTTTCAAGTACCTCAGAATCCATTTGACTGCCTCCCAATGCTCCTTCATGGGGTTATAGAGAAAATGACTCACTGTACCCACTGCCTGTGCAATGTCTCGACTTGTGCATACCATGGTGTACATCAAACTTCCAACTGCTGAAGAATATAGAACTGGTGACATCTCCCCGATCTCTTCCTTGGATGGGGGACATGTTCTTTTTCTCAACTTGAAGTGATTTGCAAGTGGGACACCAACTGGTTTGGATTCATTCATGTTGAATCTCTCATGTACGCGTTTAATGTACTTCTCCTGAGATAGCCATAACTTGTGATTCTTCCTGTCTCGAGTGATCTGCATCCCAAGAATATGTTGAGCTGGTCTTAAGTATTTCATATCAAAAGACTTAGAGAGTTTTTTCTTCAGCTGATTTATCTTCACAACATCTTTCCCAATGATCAACATGTCGTCTACATACAGTAGAAGAGCAATGAAGGTACCATATGGAAGTTTCTTGATGTATACACACTCATCTGCAGTAGTCTTCTTGTAGCCTTGACTCTTCATGCATGAGTCAAACTTCTTATTCCACTGCCTTGGTGCCTGCTTCAAACCATACAAACTTTTAGATAACTTACACACAAAGTCATCATTTGAGTTCTCAAAACCTTCTGGTTGTTTCATATAGATTTCTTCTTTCAGATCTCCGTGAAGAAATGATGTCTTCACTGTTAGTACCCAATTTTGATAGATTTTGATGATGCCACTATACTTTGCATGTGTACATTGTGTCTTATAAAATAGCATTTAAATTTGAGCGACACAAATAAATGTACAATTTTTTAGACTAAAGAAATATTATCGGAAAAGTAAAAATGCAATAAGGTAATTTTTATTTACCTTAATAGGATATTTAGATCCTACCGGCATATATTATTTAGCTCAAATACTAATTAAATGTCACATGTTTTGACGAAAAAGCTCGAAAAACATATACATTGAATGTATATGATTGAAGACAAAATTGACTAGCATTGAATGCTAAATTTGTACTGGGGTCCTTAGCACTGAAGATGCACATATGGGATTATCTTCAAGAGATGTTCCAGCAGCTAAGCAAAATTATTGAAGACAAGTGATTCACCGCATTAATAGCTCCAACACAAGAAGACGAATGTACAAGTCGTCCATGTCAATCGTCAACGAACATGATTAATCCATCCTAACCAACGGATGAGATTAAACAACTGGAGAAGCCTATAAATATAGGGTGAAACGAAAGTTTCTAACCAAGCTTTAGCATCCTAAGTAGAGAGATACTTCTATTGAGCATTCACGAAATATCTAGCAAAAGAGAAAGTGCTATTCTATCCACGACTCTCTGCTTAGACTCTTACTTCACTAAACTTCTTAGTATCAAGTGTTCATTGCTAAAATCCTAGAAGTTTAGTTCCTAGTTGGAGGTTAGAACTTTCTTGTAATCAAATCAGATATTGTTGTAAACACTTCAGGAGGACAGTTGTTCCCGGCCTGAGTGTGGTTAGATAGGTCAGGAGTACCTTTTGATCCCCACTAGATCAATTGAGAAAAACCTAAAGGATTGAGTAGCTTGGAGTGGTGTTGTACTCCTCGTGAAACACCTTCAATCTAGGCCAGAGTTGTCAAGGCTAGATTGGCACTAAGTGTATTACGCTTAATACATTAGTGAAATCCATTTGAAATAGGATGGGACTGGATGTAGGAGGATTACACCACCACTGAACCAGGATATACTGTGTGTTGATTTATTTTCTGTCAACAAAGCACACACTGAACACTTCTCATAAAAGATTGTGGTTTGCCAGCAGCATCCTAAGTAGTAGTCTTAATTTGACCCAACTGCTTATCCTACTGCTTAATAACTAACTTTCTTTGAGATATAAGAGCTTTACAATATCACAACTATAAGGTCTGTTCCATTAGATTTCAGGAAATCCTACTTAAGGCATAGCAGTTGCCTCAGCAGTCCCCTGGTGACTACCCAACTGCTAAGCCCACTGCTCATGCAAAAGTGTTTCCTTTGAACATCTCCACTTCACTAGACCTTCACAACTCTATCTCCAAGAAGTCTGTTCAAACTGATCACTGTAACTCCCAGCAGGTGCCTCAACAATTCCCTCACTATCACCCAACTGCTGAGACCACTGCTCCAGTAAAACTCCCACTTACTTGGACTAATGCACATCTTCAGAAAGCCCACATCATCCTGAGCAACACCACATAATCAATCCTTCCATACCTTCACTTTTATTTAAGCACGTGCCTCAACAGTTCTTTGGTTTCCACCCAACTGCTGAGACCACTGCTCTCATTAAAGGTTGATTATCAATCTCCCTGTTATATCATCAGAAAGCTCTTCCCACTCTGAGAAAGATTCTGAGTGCACTGTCATCATACACTGAGTATTTCGCTAGCAGTTGCCTCAGTAGTTCCCTGCTTTCTAGCCAACTGCCAAGCCAACTGCTCACCTTATAAAGCCCAAACTTCATCCATCAAAGAAAGTGTTATACACTATTTATCTAAGAGGTTAAAGACTTCTGCTGTGCATCTATACATCTCCCAAAAGATTATAGATCAACTCTTTAGAGGGAGAAACGTTTTAAAGTTGAAAAAGCTTTAAAAGTCTATTCACCCCCCCCCATCTAGACTTTTACTTCTATCAGGGACCATCATTCAAATCCATCTATTCAAGTTCCAAGTTCATACTTGCTGCAAAGCAAAGTATAACTTGGATTGAGGTCATCTTGACAACCGGTGCAATGATCTCACCAAAGTCAATTCCTTTCTTCTGTTGGAATCCTTTCACAACCAACCGAGCTTTGTGTTTCACCACTTGTCCGCTTGCATCCTTCTTCAACTTGAACACCCATTTGTTTCTCAGTGCCTTCTTCCCTTTAGGAAGTTCTACGATCTCATAAGTTTGATTTTTCTGCAGAGATTCGAACTCATCCTGCATTGCTATTAACCATTTTTCTTTATCCTTATGAGACACAGTTTCTTGAAAACTCTCCGGTTCTCCATCTTCAGTGACAAAAGATATTCAGATGATGTGTACCTTTTCGATGGTATATGGCCTCGTTCAGATCTACGAACAATTGGAACCATCTGAGAAGAGCTACCAACATATGTGCCTTGCGAGGTGGGTTGTGACTCCCCTTGCTCTGCACTCTCTTCTGTCTCCTCATCTTCTTCCACTTCTGAGTTTTCTTCATGCACTCTGTCATTGTTTCTTAAGAACAATTCCGATGCTTCATTTGAAACTTGAGCACCCTCATTTGACTTCCGAGACATTGTGGGTTTTTCAATGTCTTCTATTGTCAAATCTTCGTGGAACACAACGTCGATGCTTTTGAACACTTTTTTCTCCTTAGGATCCCATAATCTGTATCCAAACTCTTCATTTACATAGCCAACGAAAATGCATGGGATAGTTCTTGCATCAAGCTTCTATCTGAGCTATTTGGATACATGTGCATACGATGAACAACCAAATAGTCTAAGATGCGAGTATGTGAGATCCTTACTTGTCCATAGCCTCTCTAGAACTTCAAAGTTTTGTGGTACTGAAGGTGATCGGTTGATAAGATAGCATGCGGTATTGACTGCTTCTCCCCAAAATGACTTTGGAAGTTTAGCCATATTCAGCATGCTCCGAGCTCGTTCCATGATAGTCCGGTTCATTCTTTCAGCAACGTTGTTGTGCTGAGGGGTGCGTGGTACTAACTTCTAATGTCGAATGCCATATGTTCTGCAATATGCATCGAATGCCTTGGAAGTATACTCACCTCCATTATGAAATCGGAGACATTTCAGCTTCTTTCCTGTTTCACGTTCCACCAAGACGTGAAATGTCTTGAAGCACTCGAACATCTAATCTTTTGTTATCAGGAAATACACCCACACTTTCCGAAAAGCATCATCGATAAAAGTCGAAAAATATCTGCTTCCACCGAGTGATTCCACCTCCAAAGGACCACAGACATCGGAGTGTACCAAACTTAACAACACCGATCTTTTAGTTGAAGTAGAACTAAATGATACTCTATATTGCTTACCAAATAGACAATGACTGCAAGGACCCAGTGCAACATTCTTGTCAATGTTGATAAGGTTCTTCTTCATCAAGGTAATCAACCCTTTCTCACCGATGTGACCGAGTCTCAGGTGCCACAGATCCTGAGAAGCCTCCTCAACAATGTTGATCCATGAGGCTATC